TTCGTGTCTTGGCTGCTCTGCTTCTAAGCCAGCTCTCTGCTTATGGTCCAAGTCCTTGGGCCCTTCCACTCGGTTGGGAAACCCAGAAGAAGTTCCTGGTTTTCAGTTTCAGATCAGCTCAGCTCTGGCCATTGAAAGACGCCACCCTGCCCCTCCCTCTCTGTAAAATCTGCTTTTCAAATGAAGATAAAGAAATCTCACCAAAAAAAATATAATTGAACCAAGTTACTATGGAAAGCTGTTGTCCTAACCACCAAGCCAAATGGCCTGCTATAACTTTAGAACTCTGTCTCCATGTTTGCATTTTTTAGAAAGAGCCCCGCCAAGCCTCTTCTGCAGTTTAGCCTGTCTGTGAAAGAGGTGGTTGTAGCAGTCAGCAGTTACCATGTCAACCCCCCATGCCGCGCCCCTGGCGTGTGCTGTTGTCACCATCTGTTCACACAGGAGACTTCATGGGACTCACTTGCCTGAGGTCAACTCAGGAGCCCCTCGGTGTGACCCATGTGGCTCTGGCCACTGTGGTCTGCAGGCCCAGAGCCATGGCACAGATGTGTAAATGAGATATTGGGGTACTCCCCGATCCTGAAAGGTCACCAAAAAGCCAGTGCTCTGATCACTAAAGTATCAGAAAGTTCCTCTTTGTTCTTGAGTATAAAGAGTCCAAAAGAGCAGCCGTCGGCTGTAGCTGCTGTGGACTGTCCACTCGGTAGCCCTAGGCTGTTGCACAGGTGGCCTCTCTCCTCTCTGCCCCAGCCTCCTGTCTACCAGTCTGCGCACGCGCTGCCTGCTCTCCCAGCCAGCTATGTCTGCATGGGAAGGAGGCACACCACTATTGCAAAACACTTTTAAAAAAAAGATTTATTTTTCATTTTTATTGGAAAATCATATATACGGAGAGGAGGAAACAGGGAGGAAAATTTTCCATCTGATGATTCACTCCCCAAGTGGTCGTAACAGCCAGAGCTGTGCTGACCCATAGCCAGGAGCCAGGAGCCTCTTCCAGGTCTCCCACATGGGTACAGGATCCCAAGGCCTTGACCCATCCTCTCCCGCCTCCCTAAGCCACAAGCAGGTCGCTGGATGGGAAGTAGGGCTTCTGGGATTAGAACCGGCACCCATGTGGGATGTCGGCACGTGCAAGGCAAGGACATTAGCTACTAGGCTACCGCACTGGGCCCACAAAGCACTTTGTAACTGTCCCTGGGGTCTGCCAGTGGGAGTGGCTCTCAGGATGACAGACTCGGCCTACTCTTCATTCTGCTCTTGTCAGCACCCCTGCTGTGTCCCAGCCCTGTCCCCCTGAGCCTGTGTGTATGACAGTATGTAATCCTCACTCCTCAAGCAGCAGCTTCCCAGGGATTGTCTTAAATCCCTTGTTTTATTGGCTTATTTAATTACTACTATGGCAACAGCATTATTTTTTTCCCCTTTTGAAAAACTTCATATAAATAGTAGTTCAGTCTCATGACGAGCTACATTAAATATGTGGGTGGACCTGGAAACCCATCAAAATTTGTAGCTTACTTTTCTGGGGAAAAAAAAAAAACTGGTTCCACGCCCCACACGGGTAGTTAGTTGTAAGGGGAGTTTGGGAACAGCCCCAGAACATAAGCTGGGCCCATGGCACTCTTTGCGTTGTTCTCTGGTGAGTTTGTGGAAGGGTAGTTCAGCTCCCTGGGAGATTTTACCTTCTTTAGGGCCAACCTGAATCATTCATGGATCTCCCATGCCGCCCAGCACTGCCAGCCCAAGAGTGTTCTCAACAGGTACCCGTTTAATTCTTCCAAGAAGAGGGTGCTGCCCGGAACCACCCAGGAACCTGCGTGCCAGTGCATGAGCAAGGCACCATGAAGGCCTCGGGTGGCAGCAGCTCGTGCAGGTTGGAGGGCAGCAGTAGTAAGAGCAAGTGGGGCTTTGGGCACTTAACATCTGCACAAAACTGTTCCAGATGTCTTAGGTTTGTGAGTGTACTTCTTTACACACACAATTTGGTAGTTGTTTTTATTATCTCATTTTTACAAATAAGGAGACTGAAGCCCAGAGAAGTTAGGCGCTTTGCCTCAGGTCACAGAGCTAGCAGCCTCAGGCCCCGCTTGCCTGGCTCTGGAGCCCATGCTGGTAGCCACTGGGCTATACTGCCCCTGGACTGTGAGACAGGACTAAAGCCTGCTGCCCAGCTCCGACCCTGGTGAGCCTCTCAGCCAGTTTTTCTGCATAGTCCTACAGCACTGACATTTTCACTGGCTTAAGATCGTGTATTCTATATTAAATCCTAAAGAAAGGTACCTGATGTAAATGTGTTGGGGGGTGGGGCAGCAGGCAGGTCCTCTCCCCCGCCCGTGGCAGCCCTGATCCAACTCTGGGATCCTGGCTTCAGCCTGGCATAGCACTTACCATTTCTACCATTTGTAGAGTAATTAGCAAATGGAAGATACTTCTCTGTCTTCCTCTCTTCCTCTGCCCCACTGTCTCCCTCCCCTTCTCAACAATCTTTCAAAAAAAAAAAAAATAGAAATCCTAAAAAAGATAAAAAGAAATGTGGGTAACCCTGGGAGCCCCCATCAAACAGTGTGAAATAGTCTAAATTATAAAGTAAGTGGCTCTGGAATGCTTCCACCCAGAGCTGAAATTTTGAGCGACGTGTTGACCAACATTCTTGAGGATAGCTCAGAGTACCTGTGTGTTGACATTTGCACACCCCTGGGACCTCATCCTAGATGCACACTCGAGGTGTGAACACTGTTTCTGTGGGTATCCAACAGCGGTGGAGACTCCAACGTGGGCAGGGCACCACACCAGTGAGTGCTCAGGCCAGGGCCTCAGGCCTCCGTGGAGGTTCTGAAACACTCCAAGTCCACAACCACATTTGAGCCTTGTAGCTCCCGGGCAGACACTTCCTCCTGGCACCTCCTGTGCTGGCTCTGCACTGCAGGCATGCTGAGCCTCTGGGCAACCACGGGTTACCTAGAAGTTATACACCCCACACTAGAAAAGAGATGCTACACTCTTAGCAGGGGCACCTGTACACCAGGCATCAGCGTAGCAGCTGAGCCGAACGGCAGGAGTGCTTTCCCAGCTCCACCAATCTCATTTCCTTGCCAAGGAACATTCAGAGTTTTTTTGAAAGAGATTCCAGGGGAGCTGGAATCTAACAGCTGAAGCCATTCCTCAACTTTGGTTGTAGGACTAGTATCCTGTTCCACTAAAAATGAAATCATGTATCTGACTCTCATGATGTGTTAGTGAAAATGAACTCTAATGTGATTAGATGTTAATGCAATATAATGGAGAGTTGGTATTAAATTGAGCCCTTCTGATCTTATTACTCCACACAAACGCTCTCTCCTGCTCAGGTCACAGCCTTGTCCAGAACCCTGAACTTAATGGGGAGGCAAGGAAACAAGAGGAACAGCAGCGACACCTGCTCTGCCCTGGACCCGTCCTTCCCCACTCTGCCTGGAGCCTCTGGCTGGTCGCGGAGGGAGGCATGCGCAGTGGGCCTCAGGGCCGACTCTGGGCCTGTCCGCCTGCTCAGAGCCACATGCCTGTGGTTGTGGCCCAAGAGTACTCAAGTGTCAAGTCTCACCTTTGTGTCAGAATCACTTGAAGATTGGATGCCCATGGGGCTAAAAAGTAAAAAGACCAAAATCTGCATTGTCTCCTCTTCCTCATCTCCTCGCGTCCAACACTGGCTGTTGTCCTAGTTCCGTCTCCCAGTGTACCAGCGGCTGTAGGGTGTGCTGTGGTATCCTTCAGGGACAAGAACGGGACTGGGACACGCCCCTTGCAATGTGATTCTCAGCCAGGGGCAGCAGCCAGAGCTGGGAGGACAGTAGTTCCCCACTGGGAAAATGGGCCACGAATGCAAGCTCTTTGGATGGTCAGATGGCATCACCTTTGTGTATGAGTAATAGTGTTTTTATAAAGACGGTGATTTTTCTTTTTCTGTTTCTGGTAAATTGCGTTCAGAGGCACAGGCTTTGCATACAGGATGGTAACGACTTTTTAATGACCTGACGGGGAGTGGTGTCCAGGCAGCAGTGAATCAATCTCAGTGGGAAGCTCGCAGGGAGAGAGAAGATGCAACACCTGAAACCAAAGGGGGAAGACAAACTGCAAATGCATACATGTTCTTAGCTAGCATTGCTTGGTAGTTAGGCAATTCCAGGAAACAGCTTCCCAGCAACTGGCGTGTCCACTGTATGAGCAGAAGAGGGACGGCAGCCACTGGGAACACCTCACATTTGTGAGAGAAATATTGGAGTCTGCAGTTGTGGGTGCCACGTGCTCCTTCAGTACGTTCTGATGAGCTGCTGGCCTCTAGATGAGCGGGCCCAGCCTGCACACATCCCTGAGGGATGTCTCGTGGGTATGGGCACCAGTCCTAAAAGACCCTCTCTGGGTCCTTATGTGGAAGCAGGAAGCAGGGCTAGGTGGGGGCCCTGCTTGTCTCTTCCCCAGACACCATCACTTGCTTGGGCTAGGAATCAGACTGTAGTGAGTGACCCCCCTACTGCTCCAGCTGAATGCTGGGCCTTGGGGCACCCCTTTGTCCTTCTCCACCCAGCCCACATCTCAGCTCTGCTTTCCACCCCTCTCAGAAGCCCCTGTACGTGTGTCGCTCAGTCAACAGCCTCATCTCATTGATGAGGAGGTAATCTAATGAACTTGCCTCCCCAACCCTGATGGCCTTTACTTTGCCTCATTCTTTTCCAGACATGAACTTGTTCTGCAGTTGCTGTGTGCACCCAAAGGGCTCTGTAAGAACCCAAAGCCACATTCGTGGGCAGCAGGAGCCCCTTCTTGGACAGGAGGGTTGGCCCCTGAGTGAGGACATCCCACGCTTCCTGCCTCCCTCTCCCACTCGTAGGGAGGGGCCCTGTCCCCATCCCACCCTTCCTTCCGCAAAGCCTGCTGAAGGCAGGAGCTCCCCAGCCTTCATCCTCTACTGGGTCAGCCACCTGTGTAAGCAGGCCCCATGTCTGTGTTTCCTCTCACAGGTCCTGGCAGTCAGTGACTTTTGACAGACAGCCTGCCTCCTTTATCCGCATCGTGGGAACGCACAACACGGCCAACGAGGTAAGGAGCTCTCTGCGTGTGAGGAGCTGTGACATTGCCTGGCGCACAGATAACTGCTCCTTCCCGGGCTAAGTGGAACTGTTTGTTCTGCCCGCTAATGGCCTGTTGTTCAGACAGCTCAGTACAGAAGCAAGGCCTGCCCCGGCACAGTGGGGATATCATTATCATGTCTGGATGTCTCTTCCCGGGCAAAGGAAAGCCAACTAGCAGGGTCTGGCATATTCCTGAGGCCTCTGCAGAACCACAGAAACCTTGGTAGGTCAAACACCTGCCCCTTGGCTCTGGGGCCCCAGTGTCCTCCTCCCGCGTGTGTGGCAGTGGTTTCTTGAGGTTTCAGGGCCATGCTGTCACCAAGGTCTGTGTGTGAACCTCTGGCTTTTGTGTAGTCGTGCTGTGTCGATTGGCTGCCTCTGAGGGCCACTCAAGAGGCAAACACGTGAAAGCAGTAGGAGTTGGGTGGCCTTCGCTGCCTGTTCTCAGTCCTGTATAGCTTTGTTCAGTACTGAGCCCCTCTGGGTACCCCCGGGGCCCTGAACTTGGGGTGTGATTCCTGTCATGCCACCTTGATATCCTGAACATTGTGTGAGAAGGCACCCTAGCCACTGGCACCTTCCCAGGGCTGCAGTCTCCATGCACACAGACCTGACTCCTGATGGATTCTCAGTCAGCCTCTGCCTAACCCTTGATACCTAGGCCCTGCTTGGTCACACCGTGTCAGCCCACCCCCAGCAAGGGGCCCTGGCAGGCTTGTCAGGAGGGCCTATGCCAGGTGTAAATCCCAAGTGTCAGTCACAGGACAGGGCCCTGGATTTGTGCAGGGCTGTGCTGGCCCCAGCATATCGCCATGCCTAAGGGGATACAGCAGTAAGTAGAAAGCCAGACTGCCATAGCAAGACTGGAGACGAGAAAGCCTTTGTCCTCCTTCCAGAACACAGGGCTGCACACATTGGAGGCTGGCCCTGGAACTAGAATTCTCCCAGAGCACACCAGGATATTTCTTGGGACTCCAAAAAAGCATTTTTTTAGTGTGAAACTGTTGTGATAATTTATATTTATTTTGTCTTTATGTTTATTTAGAATAAAAATGACCCACACCCACGGTGTGTTTCTTGCAGAGAGGAAATAAAAAAACAAACACAAAGTTCACCTCTGAATTTCAGAGCAAACCTAAAAATTGCCAAAGTGAACCAGCTGGGGCTTTCTAAAGCAGAATTCAAGAATTCTGAGCATTAGTACATAAAAACACTTTTTCTTATTTTTATGACATATAAGTAAGTTTAAATTTGCATTTTAATATGTATTCAATCCCCAAGCCATCGTATTTTTTAAATGTTTCTGTTTTTCTTACCATCTACACTACATTAAGTATGTGCGTATTACTTACTATATTTGAAGAGCATTGAAATTTATCTTTACATAGTAACATGTCAAAATTAAATGTCTTTGATTTGTAGTCCTTTTTCCTGTACAGTTTCCTTTAATTCCCAAACAGAACTCTGTCAGTCAAGGTTGGGAAGTGAGAGTAATTCCAGACAGTCTCTTGCAGGCCCATGCCCAGCCCTGACCCTGTCCCCTCTGTGACCCAAGATGCTTTATCTCAGAGCTGTTCTCAGTGAGGAATGAGTCCCTGTACAGAGCTCTGGAGCTGCGCTGTGAACCCGCCTTCTGTGCCCAGCACACCTCCAGGGCCCAGCCAGGCTCGGTAGGCAGTAGGCACTATTACATAGTGATCAGCCTCACTTGGCTGGACAGCACTTAGCTGTGCTGCTGACCAGGAAAGAAACCTTCCACGTAGTGTTGCCAACTGGGAAACGTTTCAAGTCATCAAATAAGTCATGAATAAGATCACAAGGCAAACACTTGAGTTGTGTCATTTTTAGCACACACAAGAGGCACAATAGAGGTGACTTTTGCTAGGCACCCCGAGTGTAGAAACTCTCAAAGCGGATATTCTCTCCTGCAGCCTGCTGGGCTCAGGGACAGCCCTGGAAGAGGTGATGGCGCTGCTCACAGTGTGTGTCAGCTGCTGTGCAAGGGTGGCGTGTGCCAGCGGACGAGCTGGGCTGCTTAGGTAGGGCTACTGGTGAGGCAGCTGTGGAGAACAGGGAGGGTTCAGACTAAAGGTGCTGGCCTCTTCATGGGGTGGGGTGGCATGGGGCCAGGAAGTCCCAGGAGAGCCACAGAGGGCAGGGCTGCTTGCGTGTAGCTGGGGCTGCTGTAGCAGAGTTTCCTCAGCGGGTTAGGGCCAAGATGACAGATGGGTGCATCTCAGTTCCGAAGGCTGGGAGCCCAGGACTGGGGTGCCCTTGGGCGTAGGTTCGTAGTGAGCACCACTTCTCTGGTGTGTGTGCCCACAGCATGCCTTGGTGTGCTCAGAGCCAGGAAGTCCAGTGCTTTGTCTTCTGAGAGAGATGGCTCTACCCTGGTGACGTCATCTGACCTGTGTGCTTCCCAGCGCGCCACCCTCTGATGCGCTCCTACGGGGCTGCAGTTTCTGGTGTACATTCGAGGGGATACAAACATTCACCCCCAAACAGTAGCCTCTGTGTTAGTGAGGCCCAGGTCTCTGGTCCCTTTGGGCTATGTGCTGTTTGTGAACTCAGGGGTGGTGCCAAGTTGCAGAAGAGTAGAGGGGATTGGGTTTTAACATAGAGCACTGGATCATCTGTTGTATAAGAAAGGGAAACATGATGAATCAGTCTTTTGCCACCTCACCTGGTGGGTTTGTTCTCTGTAGACACTGTCCCCCTCAAGAGAAGGCTGGCCAGGCAGGCCATGGTGGGCAGCACAACTCCTAGGGGCTCCTGCAAGCCAGAGAGCCTTCAGAAGAGAAAGCAGTCGCACTGTGAAGGCAAAACCTGGGTGGTGGCCAGGACAGCGTGAAAGTGCGCAGCGCTGCTGGCTGTTGAGAGATCCGAGTACTTTTACAGAGCCAGCAGCCCAGTGAGATGATGGCTGTGGAAACTGCCCTGGCCCTGATGCACTAGACTGCTGCAGGAATATCCAGGGCTGATGATCACGTGGGGAGTGACAGCAGCTCGGAGATGGGGCTGGCAGGGATGTCTGTCTCACCCCCGGATATGTGTCTGTATTCCTCCCGTCGGCCAGCCTGTCTGCTCCCGGAGGCTCCGAGGGCCTGCTGCCGGCTCCTTCTCCCTGCTTCCCTGCCAGTCAGGTTGGCTGGCAGGCGACAGCAGCTGGCCATCTGTGGAGGCTCAGATTTCTCCATCACCTGTCCCAGCACACTTCCATATTGTTGCTGCACTGCATCCCTCTTCTCTGGGCAGCGTGTGCCTGCTGCCAGCATGTGTCTCTCATCTTCCTTGGGGAGCACCACCACGATGAATTCCACTCCTTAGCTGTAGTGAGGACTCCTGTCGGTGGATTTCCCTGATCCTCACCTGCTGGAGATTGTGCCACTTCCTCCTGCCCCGGTGCGCTCAGCATTGTCCTGGACATTGATTGCACCTCCTCGAGTTCTCCTCTCTGCCCTGTGTGTTTTTGTCCTCACTGCCCCTGCTCTCTTGGTTCTGTCCCCTCCCCCAAGCCTGGCCTGGCTCTCACCTAGCTCTCCACTGCCCTTGACTGCTCCCCCATGCCCTCTGTTTGCTGGCAGAATTTCCTTTGTCTTCCTCTCTGCTTGGCACTAGATGGCAGACACACGTCAGCTTGTCCTTTAGCACATCCACCTTCTCCTTCACCTGTCTTCCTTCATTTGGCTCCCCAACGGCCTGTGGCCAGAAAGGTCCTTCTTGGCCATTTTCTCTGCCATTCCGTGGGATCTCAGTTGCCAACCAAGCCAACCTGTGCCCAGCCCTGGTGGCCGGCCATCTGTCTCTGCTGTGGATTGACTTTGAACCTCTTGGGAGGCTGACTTTGGTCTCCTTGTGCTGGCTCATGTGTCAGAGAACCCTGTCAGCAGCATCACAGAGGTCAGGGGGCCTGCAGCTGGACCTCATGATGCAGAGTCTGTCAACCATCTCTCACCAGCCCCTTCATTTCCTTTTCATTGTTTATCTTCACACACTAACAAAGGCCCCCGCCTGCATCCTTAAATCCAGTTGGGTCTAACAAGATCCAGTCTGTGGACCTGTGAACATCAGTGCTTAAGGTTTTTATAACAACCTTAACATAAGACAAGGTTTGGGAGCGGTTTTTGCGGGGCACCCTGCTGGCAGAGAAAGACTATAGGACATGCAAATTGCAATGCAGAAGTCAGGACTCCTGCCTTCCCCCACCACCCAGAACCTACATAAAAGCCGCTGCCATGTCAATAACAGAAACTGGGCATGGTATTGATGAGCCACAGGTGACCCTCGGGGCTCCGTTGCAATGATTGGATCTCAGCAGAGATGGGAGAGGGGCTGTGTTCCAGTCTGTGTTCCCACACTCAGCGCGGCGCTGGCGTGTGGAATCACAGAGTCCCTGTGAACTGAGTAAATCAACGAACGAGCGAGTTATTTGATCTGCACATCATCTTTCCTTCTTCCATGCAGTCTCTGAGCTAGAGGAATAGAGAGATTGAGGAAACCAGCTTCCTGTTACCAAGACACCGTGGCATTCCTGGGCAATGCTTCCATACTCACATTGAGGATTTTCTTAACTCAGAAGCCAGAGTATCTGGGAAAGGATGTATGCCAGGCAGCTCTGTGTCTTTTAGCTCAGGACCCTGATAGTAAACATACTTGTTATAAATCATAGTAATGGCAGCTAGTGCTCAACTGAGCACTTGCCACATGCCAGGCCCTGTCCCCAACCATCTGTGTGTATCACATAGTTCACCCCTGCTAGGAGAAACAGATTGTCTCATGCACATCCTAAGCATAAGGAGACTCGGTGCTAAGACCAGCAACCTGTACGGCAGCAAGCAGTCCTCATCCAGTGGCAGGAGAGCTGACACCGGCCTGCTGAAGGGCAGTTTGGCATGATTTACTACAGCTGAGCCCGGCGCATACCTGTCATGAGAGTCTCCATGCACACACACATACACACACACAACC